TGACGTCATCCATGCTAGCCTCTCCTCCTGGGGCCTTCTCTGGTGGCGCACCATGCTCCCCGCGTCCCGCGGCGCCGGCCCACGGGTCCGCGGCCGGCCCCCGGATTCCTGCAGTGGGCCGACTGCCCGCCCCCCAGGGACTCCTCCAGCCCTCGCCTCAGCCCCCCCGAGTGCGGGGTGGGAGCGCCCCATCACAGGGCTAATTTAAAAAAAAAAGAATGGATTTTCGCACCGGGCTTTAAAGATATAGGGGCTCCCACTGGGGTTAATAAGGAGCAATGGCCCTGTAGCCAATGGCTGTGTCTACATTGGCAAGATTTTGTGCAAGGCCGCTTTATCGCAAAAACTTGCTGCCTGTCTACACTGGCCGCGAGTTCTTGCACAAGAACACTGACGTTCTAATGTAAGAAATCAGGGCTTCTTGCACAAGAACTATGATGCTCCTGCTCAGGAATAAGCCCTCTTGTGCAAGTGTTCTTGTGCAAGAGGCCAGTGTAGACAGGCAACATGGATTTCTTGTGCAAGAAAACCTGATGGTTAAAATGGCCATCAGAGCTTTCTTGCGCAAGAGGGCGTCTACACTGGCACCAGGGGCGGCCCTAGACTAGCTGCCAGCAACTGGTGCCCTAGGCGAACCATGCAATCAGTGCCACCCCTTCCCCCTCCCAACCCCAAGGGCAGATATCAACTGAGGGTTTTGATTCTGTGCTGGCGAGAGGGGGGCTGGGGATGGAGTTCTATTGGCTGGGGGTCAAGGGGCTGGGGATGGGTTAGGGTTCTAATCTCATAGCCTGGAAACCCAAAATTAGTAGAAACTTTTGACCATAACCTTTGTGCCTCAGCTCCCAGTCTGTAAAATGGGGCTCACATAGTGAAGATAAATGAATTAGCATTTGTGAAGGACCCACACTCCTAATGATAAGCTTCATCAAAAAGCCCATGAGGAAATTAATAGTTCTGTCTCCAGAGCAGGGTTTGAATAGTATGCAAAAAATAAAGCCTGCAAACCACACACTGAACAAGGAGGAAAAAAATAAAATGTTGAATAGCTGCTTATTAAGTGAAGACTACTTGCTATATGTGCACTGAATAAGGCAGAGAGCTTGTGGGAAAAATAAATGTGATCATGTAATTAAATGCAGCATAATAATGCATACACATAAGAAGGTGGTGCAAATAAAAGTGGCAGAAGCAACCTTAATTCTAATGTTTCCTGTCTTCTGCGTGCTTCACTTTACAACCCTGTGTGCGTGTGTAATATATAAACCTTAGGGGAGAGGGGACTTTAGTGTGAGCTGGATTAGACTCTGTGCTTTTTTGCATATCTTTACTAATCAGATACAACAAATTCTATTTAATGTTGGACTTTCTAAGGGCAAATCTTTCCATGAAAAGTAAAGCAAAACAGATGCAAAATAAAATGTTGAAACTCGATTTACGCCATTATCCTCTGTCTTACAAAGTAACTGTTGTTACATGTTGTGATGGATAGGAGGAGTGCTGGCCAGCACTTGGTGACCAAAGGGTTAAATGCAGGTGTGATGTAGTGGGGGTACTTGCTGGGCTGTGGTGACCCCTGCTGTCTGGAGCAAGACCCAGCAGGGAAAACCTCACTAGGCAGAGGTAATGCCAAACTTGTTGAACCAGTGGCCAGACACCCCCCATGGAGAGGAACAAAGGAAGGTGGAATGCTGCCCTGGCTGGGGGGCAGGGCTTGGAGAGGGTTAGTTAGTTCCTATCTGGAAGGCAGGGAATAAGGAGCTGGGGAGGGAGCTGGGACTCCCCTATCTCAAGGGGGGGCACTGAGGCCTCTTACCCCCAGTTCCTGTAACCAGATTACATCTGTGCTGCGCTGTGCTGGAGGAGCAATAAACCACCCTCAATTCCACTGGCTGGTGCAGTCTGTTTGTGCCATTTCGGGGTGCAGGAGACGGGGAACCCCCAACGCGCCGTCACAGCAGGTCACTATGGGTGTTGGCAGGGAGTCAGAAGAACCAATGGGATACAGTGCTGAAATTGCTTGCTCTCTTTGTGGGAGTTTTAAATTAGCAGCTAGAAGAAGCAAGATGAAATAATCAGACAGAATTACCATCCCTACAAGAAATATTGGGCATGGGAATGGACTGGGCCTTGAAGTATGGATCTGTACAGATCGTGAGTAGTGGGAAAATGTATATTTAGTGGCAATCGGGTTATTTGTTTTTTATTTTGCTGTTTGGTTAAACTTCTTTGTGTGAAATCCATATGCTTCCCTCCCCCATTCACCATATTTAAGCAACAGCCCAAAGAGACTGTGTTTGTTTGTGTTTTGGTCTGTTCTTTTCTTAGTCGTTCTATAACACCTAGCAACCAAGTATGCTTCATCAAGTACACCTTTTCGTTTTGTTAATAAAATCACTTTTCTAAGGCAATGATTTGATTCTTATGTCCTGGAAGGTAACAGGAGGTCTGTGTGTGTGCTTGCCTAGGCTGCGAGGTCAGCTCTCAGGGACACAGTTTGCTTTCTGTGTATTTTGTTTCTTTTTTCAAGCTCTCTTGTGGCAAAAGACTTTGGGGAAACCTCTTGGGAAGAATTTCAAGTGTTTCTTCCTGGTTTTCAGGGTTTTAATTAATTCACTTGATGGTGGCAGCCTATTTCCCAGGGGGCAGTATGTCTGTGGTGTGGGGAGTTTTTGTAAGCAGAGCCTAAAGAGGCAAGGTATTTTTAAGATCTCTTGTGGGGCCCTACTTTCTGCACTTGGAGTGCCAGAGCGGGAGACAGCTGAGATACATGTATCATCTAAAAAGGTTTGGCTATACATTGCACAGACCCCTTTAGTTATATATGTTGCACTAGAAGATTTACCTGGCATTGCTCGGGTCCTTAACTGAAAAAAAAGTTTGCTTTTCTTCACTGAAATCATTGTTCTGGGGTGGGGCTGGGGATGAGAGGTTCAGTATGCAGGCTGCTCTGGAGAGGGAGGATTATCCTAGCCCTCGTTCACCACAGCAGCTTGGAGTAAGGTAAGAAGCACCTCTCTATGGCTGCTGCAGCTCCAGCAAGCACAGCCAGGGGGAAGGGTGCATGTCCCCTGGCTGAGGCAGGCCCAGGTTGATCTGCCCCCTGCACTCCCTAGCCAGTGAGGAATGCAGCAAACTGCACTTTCCCCTCATTCCCCAGCAAAGGGGAACAGCCAGCAATATTTCTGTATGAATGGAGGAGGGGAGTTTCAGCTCTCTGCCTTCTCTAAAGGGCTCCTTGGCGGGCTGCCCCAGGAAGAGAGGACTACCCCAACCCTATCTCACCACAGCAGCTTGGGGCCAGGTGAGAAACACCTGTCTATGGCTGCTGCAGCTCCAGCAGGCAAGGCCAGAGGGAGGGATGCATGTCCCCTGGCTGGGTCAGGTCCGGGCTCGTCTGCCCCCTCCACTCCCCAGCCAGAATGAGCAATGCAGCAAACTGTGCACTTTCCCCGCGCTCCCTGAGGAAGAGGAACAGGCAGCAATGTTTCCGTATGAATGTGGGGGAGGGAGCATCAGCCCCCACACCCTCCTTAAAAGGTGCCTGGGTGGTGGGAGGCTTGGCATTGGAGCAGTCCTGGAGTGTGTGTGTGTGTGTGTGGTAGTGGTGGGGAGGAAATGCGCCCCCAGCCAGCCCCTTTCACCTGCCTGGTGATTCTGTCTCTTTTCTGGTATTGGCAGACAGGATACTGGGCTAAATGGACTTTGGTCTGACCCAGTATGGCCGTACTGATGTTCTTATGTTCTGTTTGGTTTTAAGAGAAGCAGTCCCATTCCAGCCACACCCCATTTTCCTGGCACAACCAAACCAAGTTATGATAAGAGGAAGTTGTATACTGAATGTGGTGGTCCTAGCTCCTATCATTTAGGAGGAGTTCTTTCTCAGTGAGAGGTTAGCTCATGATTTCAGAGTTGCCAGGATTTCACCCATTTAAAATACCAATGTATTTCCCCCTTTATCCCAAACAGAGCTGGATACCTGACCCTGTATGGCAATGAAGAAGAAAATTACAGTGATCCTTCCTGCCAAAACAAAGATCGGGCCCATTCTGCGGAGGTCTACAATCAATTTTATAAATTGGACCAGCTGTTAATGAGAGCTGCCCGCTCCATGCTAACTGCAGGTGAGTGCCTGGGGGGTCAGAAATAACCAGCCACATAGACATGGGAGCCGCATGTTCAAGCATGTTAGGCATGCAATTATACACCTAACTATTAGGGGCAGTTCATGCAATTGCACATGCAAACCAATCCATCTAGTATGTTGCTTGCATGTGCCTCAGACATTTTGTCCCGTTCCAAATACAGCTGGCCATTTGTACTGTGCCTGTACTGTCTGATTTGCACGGACTTCCAGTTCATTTCCAAGTGCAATTGAAAAGTGCCAGCTGTAACCACAGAAGTCCTGAATGGTTATGACCCTCAGTACTTCAGGGACTTGCTCCTTTTCCCCATGAGATACTAAGGCGCTTGAGGTCATCTTTCATTGCAGGAATGGGACCACATGAACCGGCCATTCTGTTTCATTTGTGTGTCCGGCAGTCTAGTGTAGAATGTGGTGATGGGGCAGGGTAGCGAAAGGGCCTTCCGATTCACTCCACACTTCATGGTGTAGCAGAAATAGCAGCCAGATGGGGCTGTACTACAGTTCTGCCCTGGCAGTTGGTTTTGGCTGAAACTTCCCAGGCTCACATGGAATCCAGTTATTTGGGCTTTCTGCTGGTAAAGAGAATGGCAACCTCATTGGAGAAACAGCATGTCAACTTGGAGAGGTGGGGCACATGGGTTTGTCCTGAAATGTGCGAGCTATTTGGGCTCAATTCTGAGTTTATAAGTAGCTAATGAGTTTTGAATAGTGGCTGTCTGTCTACACATGGGGCTAAGTGGGGTTTAAGAGCATGCCGACCACAGGCATTTACTCACACAGCTCAGTTCCCAGTGTAGACAAGGCACAGGAGTATCATTTCTAGGAGGGATCTGGTGGCCGTTGAGCCAGCCCCTCACCATGGAAAGGTCTAACTGTCCCTCATTCCCAGCCTTCTTATGGACTTGCTTTTAACCTCTCCTCCCAAGGTCCAGCACTCATGATTAGAGTCTCACTGTCGGGGATTGCTGAGAGCATGCGGGAAAGGAGCGTTGCTCAGGAAACCACATGGAAATTAAGTTATTTCGGATGCAAGTGATTTCTGTGCAGGGCCCTATGTTTACATAGGAGCTGTCCTGGAAGAGCAAGTATGGGCAGTAGATGGCACCATTATGGAAGTTTTAAGTTCCATGTCACTTACACTTTAGACCAGGAGTCACTAGAACGGGTCACCTGCAATGGTTCTTGACATTTATTTTAGTAACAAAACCTTTGCCTTTGTTTATATGCAGCAGAAAAGAAGGAAGCTGCCAGCATCAAGGAGCATCTCTGGAAGCTACTGTCTGTAAAAAGACTGAATTCCAAAGCCAACAAAAGCTCTTGGATAGAGAGCTACATGCAGCACCTACAAGAACTGGGAGTGGATGAAGATATGCAATCCAGAGCCATGCTGATGCAGCTCTGGGCCACCCAGGTAAAACCATATCAGCTCTTTCAGAGCAATCATAAGATGGAACGAATGCTAGAAATTGCCTTAGGACTTTCAATAATAATACAGATACCATTAGAGAGACTGTGATGCCACTGGAAAAATACTGAAGAAATTATAGCTGCATGGGGAAAATGCCTGCATGATTTAAAGTAATATTGTGGCACAACCAGGATCAAGCTGGGAACATCCTTGTGATAATTTTGAATGGCAAAACAGCAGTGAGAATAGAACACTGAGAGTACGTCTACACAGCAGCAGTATTTCGGAATAATTGGTGTTATTCCGAAATAACATAGTGCGTATCTGCAGTACAAGTCTTATTTCAGAATAATGTCGAGCTTGGAAGACTTCTTACTCTGACTCATGGTAACCCTCATTTCACGAGGAGTAAGGGAAGTTGAAGAAACGGTGTTCTTCCTTCGACTTCCTGCTGTGTAGGCAGCGCCAACCCCCTAATTAAGCTATTTTGACTTAAGCTATGCAATTGATGTAGCTGAAGTTGCGTGCTTAATTCAACTTTTAGCCTTGCTGCGTAAACATACCCTTAACTTCCTTCTTTGAAATCACAGCTCTACTCCACTTGAGAGACAGGAGACTCATAGGATTGCTAGCAGTGTCGGATCTGACACACTAAGCAGAGCAATTCTGATTCCATCCAGTTGAGGGCAGTGGTGAGCTAGGTCTAGTCTGTTTATTACAGAATTTTGTTTCCTAAAAGTAGATAAACACAAAGATACAAGGCCCACTCCTGCACTTGGTTGTGTCCTTCATGTACTGAGTGGCAAATTTCAACTGCAGATTTCAACTTAGATTTCCAGAAACCCTTTGACAAGGTCCATCACCAAAGGCTCTTAAGTAAAGTAAGTTGTCATGGGATAAGAGTGAAGGTCTTCTCATGGATTGATAACTGGTTAAAAGACAGGAAACAAAAGACAGAAATAAATGGCCAATTTTCAGAATGGAGAGAGATGTCCCCCAAGGGTCCGTACCAGTTCTATTCAATCTATTTATAAATTATCTGAAGAAAGTGGTAAATAGTGAGGTGGCAAACTTTGCAGATGATACTAAACTGCTCAAGACAGTTAAGACTAAAGCAGACTGTGAAGAGCTTCAAAAACATCTCACAAAACTAAGTGATTGGCAACAAAATGGTAAATGAAATTTAATGTGGGTAAATGTAAAGTAATGTACATTGGAAAATATAATCCCAAATATTCATACATTATGATGGGGACTAATTTAGCTACAACTACACAAGAGAGAGATCTTGGAGTCATTGTGGATAGTTCTCTAAAAACATCCACTCAGTGTGCAGCAGCAGTCAAAAAAGCAAACAGAATGTTAGGAATCATTTTAAAAGGGATAGAGAATAAAACAGAGAATATCTTATTTCCTCTATATAAAACCACGGTACGCCCACATCTTGAATACTGCATACAGATGTGGTCACCTCATCTCAAAAAAAGATATATTGGCATTGGAAAAGGTTCAGAAAAGTGCAACAAAAATGTTTAGGGGTTTGGAATGGGTCCAGTGTGAAGAGAGATTAAAAATACTGGGATTTTTCATTTTAGAAAAGAGGAGGCTAAAGGGGGACATGATAGAGGTATATAAAATCATGACTGGTGTGGAAAAAGTGAATAAGGAAAAGTTATTTACTTGCTCCCATAACATAAGAACTAGGGGTCACCAAAATGAATTAATAGGTAGCAGGTTTAAAATAAACAAGAGGAAGTTCTTCTTCACACAGTGCATAGTCAACGGCCGTGTCCAGACTCAGGGGTTTTTTCGGGAAAAGTAGCCTTTTCCCAAAAAAACTTCCCCTGCGTCCAGACTCAAGCCGCGCTCTTTCGAAATTATTTCGAAAGAACACGGCTTTTCTTTCGATGGCGGTAAACCTCGTTTCACGAGGAAGAACGCCTTCTTTCGAAAGTTCCTCTTTCGAAAGAAGGCGTTCTTCAATGTAAAAGAGGCTGTCTTCGAAAGAGAGCATCCAGACTCGCTGGGTGCTCTCTTTCGAAAAAGCGGCTTGCTTTTTCGAAATTCCGCGTGCAGTCTAGACGCGATCTTTTGAAAGAGGCTCTTTCGAAAGATGCTTTCGAAAGAGCCTCTTTCGAAAGAAGCCTGCAGTCTAGACATAGCCAACCTGTGGAACTCCTTGCCTAAGGAGGCTGTGAAGGACAGGACTATAACAGGGCTCAAGAAAGAACTAGATACATTCATGGAGGTTAGATCCATCAATGGCTATTAGTCAGGATGAGTAGAAATGATGTCCCTAGCCTCTGTCAGAGGCTGGGAATGGGTGATGGGAGAGGGATTGCTTGAAGATTCCCTGTCTGTCCACTCCTTGTGGGGCATCTGGCATTGGCCACTGCGGGCAGACAGGATACTGGGTTAGATGGACCTTTGGTCTGACCCAGTATGGCCGTTCTCATGTTCTTATTGTACGGTCCCATAGCAGATGTTTCAGGGCAGGGAGTGATCATGAGTCCAGCACCATGTCATCTTTAATTCACGTGGGCTACATCTACACTAGCATGAATTTCCGGAAATGCTTAAAACGGAATAGTTTTCCGTTATAAGTATTTCCGGAAAAAGAGTGTCTACATTCGCAGGATGTAGCCCTTTTTCCGGAAAAGCGTCTGTGGCCAATGTAGACGTGCTTTTCCGGAAAAAAGCCCCGATCGCGAAAATGATGATCGGGGCTTTTTTCCGGAAAAGCGTCTGTGGCCAATGTAGACGTGCTTTTCCGGAAAAAAGCCCCGATCGCGAAAATGATGATCGGGGCTTTTTTCCGGAAAAGCGTCTGTGGCCAATGTAGACGTGCTTTTCCGGAAAAAAGCCCCGATCGCGAAAATGATGATCGGGGCTTTTTTCCGGAAAAGCGTCTGCTTTTCCGGAATAAGGGGCCCAGTGTAGACACAGCCTTTGTGTGTGATCCTTGATTGTTCTGAGGCCCTTTCACAGAGCTGCAGTACCCATGCCCAGCTTAGTGAATGATAAATGCTATGACACATTAGCCTTGATTTTCCCTTGTTTTTACAGAATTAGGCCTGGGGCTTTTGCATATGATCACTTACCTGCTGGGTGGCCGACAGTCTTGCCAGGTCCCTGGGCAAGGAAGTGGGAGCCTAGCTCTGAGCTCCTGAAAGGGGCAGAAGAGGCAGGGCTGTGAACAGCCAGCTCTGAGTACTGCCTGGCGCGTGTCATGCTATGCCATGCCCCCCCAGCCAGCCCTAGGTGCCACCTGGAGTGCACCATGGTGGGTTCTGGCAGCAATTTAAAGGGCCAAAGCACTGGTCACCATGCTGCTGCAGTATTGACAGTAGTGGCCAGGACCTTCGACCAGTTTGAATTACAAGGGCCCAGGGCAACTTCCCCCTTGAACCCTCCTTTCGGCAGACCTGTTCATGTGCAATTAGACAAGCCATGTGAATCAAGAATAAATCAGTTCTGTGCATGTACATTCCATGGGGATAACCCTCAACTGCTGTAAGCGTCATAGCTTCATTGATATCAGTGGAACTGTGATGATTGATACCAGTGGAGGCTCTGCCTCTATCTGTGCATAAGTCCCAGTGTGCAAAGGGGGTGTGTGTGAACCCATTATACACAAGTACCCAGGGATGTCAATGGGATTGCTTTTGTAAGCAGCTCAGTATTGCCAACCCAAAGATTCACAAACCACAAACCAGGGCCCCCAAAGTCATGAGAGTGGCTTAGGAATCAGGGTTTTATAAATAACAAAAGCTGGGTTCTTTTGATTTGCCATCTGGATACAAGGGCTCACATTTTCTTGCTTTTCTCTCCAACCACAAGGGCTGAAAAAAAATTAAAAATAGAATGGAAGGTCAGATTTTCATGTAAGGAAGTGAATCCAGGAGCGGTCGCTTTAAGAAATCCCTCAAATACTGTGAGATGTACAATAAAATCACGAGAGTTGCTAACACTACTGCTCACTGATGTAAGGAGTTCACACAATTCGCTCCTCTATGTGCACATTTCCTCAGGCACCTGCTGGGTAGTACACAACGTCAGTCACCTCTAAGGGGTGACGTGTGCCTCATTTTACACAATGCATTTGTGTCCTTGGCCAAGGTGCTGCTTTCCCAGGAGAAGTAACGCATACTGTCTGGGATGGATGGCAGATGACAGTCTATCCCTAGGCATTTTCAGTTCATATTTGATCACATCTGTATTCCTGACCTTTTCTAAGTAACAGTCGTTTCAGGCTCTCTAAAAAAAAACACCCTGTATGTGACCTTAAAGTGTGAGGGAGCATTTTCACATCTCAGATCCAGAAATTTTACTGGAAACATTCAAACAGGCAATGCTTCAGATAAGAATAAGGGGGAAAAAAATCCATGCTCAACAGTGTAAGAAGTGGGTTATGCCCACAAAAGTTCATGATATCATCTATATGTTTTGTTAGTCTTTAGGGTGCTGCTAGACTATTCATTGTTTTTTTAAGTTGTTTCTTTATGACACACAGAAGAGTTATAAAGCAAGTTTTAATATGGGTTTAAATCTGAATTTTCAAAAGTGGATACTTTATGCTACTAATTTAAATTTATATTCAGGCACTTAACCAAAGATTCCTGGATATCTACAATGAGAGGCCACATTTGGAAATGCTGACATCACTGGAGTTATTACACAGGTGTGTAAGCCCTGGTCTACACTAGGAATTTATTTTGAAATAGCTCCCCTTTCTGTGGAATAACAAGGACAGCATCCATACTACCAACCCTGTTATTTCAAAATAAGGGGATGATTATTTCTAACTAATAACTCCCGCTTTCCTTGGGGAATAAGCTTATTTTGAAATAGTGATCTTGGGAGTTATTTTGAAATAACTTATTTCGAAATAATTTCCTAGTGTAGACATGCCCTAAGAGTGGAGGATCAGCCTGCCAATTATTTGTAAACAGTGTGCCTCCTGGATAATGCACTGGATTGGGATTTAGGAGACCAAAGCTGTG